AGGAACAATCAGATCTCTGATATCAGATGGAGCTTGGCCATTTAAGGCTTTATATGTGAGAAGGAGGATTTTAAATTCTATTCTTGATTTAACAGGAAGCCAATGAAGAGAAGTCAGGATAGGCAAGATATGATCTCTCTTTTTCATTTTCATTAGAACTCTGGCTGCAGCATTTTGGATCAGCTGAAGGCTTTTAACTACAGTTTGTGGACTTCCTGATAGTAAAGAATTACAATAGTCCAGCCTTGAAGTAACAAATGCATGGACTAGTTTCTCAGCATCACCCCTGGACAGGAGATTTCTAATTTTTGCAATGTTCCTCAGATGAAAGAAGGAAATTCTAGAAACCTCTTTGATATGGGATTTAAATGACAGGTCCTGATCAAAAATAACACCAAGATTTTTTACTTTATTATCTGAAATCAGTTTAATCCCATCCAAATGAAGTGACTGGCTAATCGGTTTCTTTTTCAGAGACTCTGGTCCAAAGACTATAACTTCTGTTTTGTCTGCATTCAGAAGCAGAAAGTTAAGAGTCATCCAGGTTTTTATGTCTTCAGACATGCCTGTAATCTATGTAATGGGTTAGCTTCATCTGGTTTTATAGACAGATATAGCTGGGTATCATCAGCATAACAGTGAAAATTAATCCCATGCTGTCTAATAACTCTACCAATTGGGAGCATGTATAAAGTAAAGAGAATTGGTCCTAGCACTGATCCCTGTGGTACTCCACAGGTAAACTTTGAGCATGTTGAAGATCTATCATTAAAATGAACAAACTGAATTCGATCAGATAGATAAGATTTAAACCAGTCTAGTGCTGTTCCTTTAATTCCAACAAAATATTCAAGTCTTTCTAAAAGAATATTATGGTCAACTGTATCAAATGCAGCACTAAGATCCAACAGGACGAGCACAGATACAAGTCCATTATCTGAGGCCATGAGAATATCATTAGTGACTTTCACCTGAGCTGTTTCAGTGCTATGATGAGCTCTAAAGCCAGACTGAAACTCTTCAAAAAGTTCATTATGGTGTGAGTGATCGCAAACTTGTTTGGCAACTACGTTCTCAAGATTTTTGGATAAGAAAGGAAGATTAGATATAGGTCTATAATTGACCAAGTCATCTGGGTCAAGAGACGGTTTCTTAAGCAGAGGTTTAATTACAGCAACCTTAAAAGCTTTAGGTAAATATCCCTTTAACAGAGATAGATTATTCACATCTAAAATGGAGGAGGAGATCAAAGGGAATACCTCCTTAAATAACCTGGTTGGAACTGGATCTAACATACAAGAAGGCTTAGATGAAGACAATAATTTTGCTAATTCAGAAAGTTCAACTGGATCAAAGCAGTCTAAACCCGGTTCAGATTCCATGACCACCTCAGGTACAATCGCGGATAGAGGAGTGCTTATGATCTTATTTTTAATAAGATCAATCTTATTTATAAAGATTCCCATAAAATCATTGCTGCTAAGAGCAGGTGGAATGGACGGTTCAACAGAGCTATGGCTCTGGGTGAGTTTGGCAACTGTATTAAAAAGAAATCTAGGATTATTCTTATGCTGCTCTTGCTTTACAAAGGGTCCTCTTATACAGCAGTAAACCATTTTTCCAGATTAGGAAGGACTCCCGCAGGCCTGTGGAGCGATATTTTCTCTCCAGTTTCCTAGCATTTTGCTTCAAAGTACGCAGCTCTGCATTAAACCAAGGAGCATGCTTTCTATTTTTAACGGTTTTCATTTTCAAAGGAGCTGCGTTGTCTAAGGCAGTAGGCAGAGAACTAGCAACCCCATCAAGAAAATCATCAACCTGTGAAGGGGAATAAGCTTAGCTTTTGCACTCTGCAGCACTGCTAAGGCGACACAGAGGAGAGAGAAAGTGAAGCAGATTCTTTAAAATTTATAACTGCACTATCTGATAAAGATCTACTAAAATTGAACCTTCTTTTGGGGGAGGAGAACTCTGTTAAAGTAATCCTGAAAGTTATTACAAAGTGGTCAGAGAGGACAGGGTTGTGAGGAAATACTGTTGTTTCTTCACATTCTATGCCGTATGTCAGCACAAGATCCAAAGTATGAAGATGAGAATGTGTGGGACTATTCACATTTTGAACAAAGCCAATAGTGTCTAAGATAGCATTAAAGGCTGCTCTTAAGCTATCGCCTTCAATGTCAGCATGGATGTTAAAATCTCCCACTATGATGACCCTGTCAGTATTTAATACCAAATCAGAAAGGAACTCTGAAAACTCATCTAAAAATTCAGAGTAAGGACCTGGTGGACGATACAAAGTTACAAAAAGAAGAGGTTTCCTTGCCTTGAAATTTGGATCAGGGAAATTAAGGGTTAAATGTTCAAAGAGTTGTAGGTATTAACTGTTTTGGGAGTAATCAGTAAGTCAGACTGGAAGATTGTTGCTACTCCTCCTCCTCGCCCGCCCCCCTTTTGGGGGTGTGAAAAATTTAAAAGCTTGAAGGAATTGCCCCATTTTTTGTAATAATCCTCTTGCTGCAGAGGGTTTCTGTAAAGGGAAAAAAAAAGTCAATGTTATTTTTTTTTTCACAAACAAATCATTAACTAGAAACTTTTGTGGAAAGCGATCTTATGTTAAAAAAAAACGCATTTAAATTTTTTTAACTTTTTCCCCCCAAATTGGAGTTATTTTGATTTAATTAGATTATCATGATTTCCTCCTTTTTGGGAAATCTTTGTAATTTATTAGAGTTTGGTCGTGGGCAAGACATTCTGGATGGAGTAAAAAGTGGGTAACAGTATAGAAGCTGCAGAGATGTGTGTTAAATACAACTTGCTTCCTGGGGGCACCCTGGGGGGGGAGGGTTTTGGGGATAATAAATGTGGCCAATTCCCAGAAAGAAAGGCTGCACCATCCAAGTTGATGGATGCCCTCTCCAGAACGCCCGGCTTTCCCCCAAAAGGTTGCCAATTATTAATGAGCCACATTGTTTTTAGGAACCACCCAGACAACCAGCGGTTTTTAAGACGACATGCGGTAAAAATGTCATCACTGGTAGTCGGGGAGGGGGCTAGAGAAAATTTTCGGAGTCCGACATTTTTTTGGCAAACTTACACACCCAAGAACACTAATTTTAGTGAACCTCGATCGGCGTAACCCGGGGGTCATTAACCCCCAGGGAAACAATTTACTGTATTTTAAACCTTTTCCCTTTGCAGTAGTTTAGTAGGATTTTTGTTGCCCGTTCTGGCCCCCGGCAAAAATTTGACTATGGTCCCTGGTGGCTCTAATGCCCGTTTTTGGACTATGGAGCTGCCCCTCCCCCGGTGGGGTTTAGTGGGTGGTCACTGGTGGGGAAAAAGGGTTAGAACGTGAACGGGTTGGTGGTGACCAGTGGGGAGGTCCACGATCGCTTTTGCGTACAGTTACCCAAACGCCTGGTGTCAGGCACTGCTGGGGACAGCTTTGGGGGGCCCCACTTTAAAACCCCGGTTTTTCAACAGCCTGAAGTGGGTTTAATCTGACACCCGCCTCCAAAAACTACAAAAATCACACTTATTAACTCCCCTTATCACTAAAGGGGGGGAGAGAAATAACGAACATTTAAAAGAGAAGGAGAGGGAGAGGAAGAAGGAAGAGTTGAAAAGAGTAAGGAGGGAGAGAGAGAAGCCATAGCAATGCTAAGCAGCGCAGCCCAGGCTAGCACTCCTTGCTATGAAATAAACCGTTTTTAAACTGACAAGTGCTCAGTAGAAAAATGCGAGAAGGTGCTATGTTTTTAAATAGCAGTTAGAGTTACTCGATACAGAGATATCACAGAGAAAAAAACTTAGATGGAGATCCCCGGACAGCTGCAAAAAAGCTGCACCCTCAGTTAAAACCAAACAGGATTACAAAAAAAAGGTAACTTTATTTAAAACACTAAATAAAAAAGGGAAAAAAGTAGAATGGGAAAATTTTTAACAAATAAGAAGCTTCATAAACAAACCACAGTTTAAATTTAGACAAAATTTTGATTACATACATTTTAAAACAAAAGGGTAAAAAGTATATTTTTCTAACAATAATTTTTGGTTTAAAAAAATCAAAAAAAAGTTCTTCCCTTTAGCTTTTTATTTTCGGGGAGAGTTAATTTCCCCCCCCCACCCGTTATTCTTTTTATTCTCTTTGTTTTAACAAAAAAAAACCCTCATTTTTTTCATTAAAAAATCACAATAATGAGCTGTAAAACATATTAAAGCAGTTTTTCTTTTGCAGCACAGGAGACATAAGTAGTTTGTTTAAAAGGGCTTTGACCAAAAAACAAACGAAACAGTAAACAAAGGACTGTGGGATCCAAAATGAAAAAAAATTTCTTTACTAAATTGAAAAATTTCTTTCCCGTTTCATTTTGGGAAAAATAAATAAAAACCATGGGAAAATGTATTCCCCAAAGTAATTAACAAACAATAGAAGTAAAATTCCCCCAAATTTCTCATTTTTATTTGGCAGACATGAAGTGTTCTGCGGAGCCAAAATTTAAAAGTTACCGCAAAAAAAGATGAGGAACAAAGGACAGAAAATAAAAAAAGTGATCAGGGGGGATGAACGTTGACTATGTCAGGTCCATGATCAGGGCTTTTTCCCAAAAATATAACCAGCAGATAAGGGCAACTGAAAAAAAACCAGGCAAAAAGATAACAGTCACAAATCCTTTAGCTTTTCCAGAATGAAATCTTGCTGGGATATGAAAAGGGAAACCCCAACAGAAGAGAAAGGGAAAAAATCATCAGCCAATGATAACAATACTGTTTATTTTTATTCTTTTTCTGTAAATTTTTTTAAAATATTTGTTTAAGATAAAAACCCAACCCGATATAAGGTTCATACATTTCCCGAGAAAATCATCTTTTAAAGAAAAAAATTGGCGTTCTACAAGGATACAAACAATTATTGTACCAAGGGGAAATATGGTGGAATTCTCCAAAAAAAGGGATCAGAGTGAAATCTTTATTGATTAGAAACGAGGGGGGTTCCATGGGTAGCTGGGATGTGATCCAAACGTACCTGCAGGAAAAACAAAACAAAATTTATATTTTTATTCACATAAAATCAGCAATGTTCTTTTACCGTAACTGCTTTTGGTGGCTGAAGAATGCAGCAATGTAATCTGTCTCACAACAAATACTATTAAAATTCATGTTTCCCTGTTTAATAAAGAAACCCTAGAAAAAACAAATTACATTTTTAAGAGATGAATGGGTTATTATGGGCTTGCAGTTATTGGTACAAAAATTGGACTGTTTCTACAAAGGTTTTGATATCACTTCCTGAAAGACTAGACTCAAATCATGTTGCAAAGGTCTTTCTTTTAATTTTAAAATGATTCATTATGCCATTTATTCCATTACTATTTCCAATATTTGTTTACATATAACATTTTTAGACAGTCAAGATATGTTGGCAGGTGTGATATATATGCGTTTACGTATAAGGGGGACACTTCCTATGCGCTTCGTCCCCTCAGTTTTTCACCTTACCGTCTGGTGAGTCTGACTCTATGACAATATATTTAAAGCTTTCTATGACAAAATTAAGCTGTTATGCAAACAGCAACCTATAAACAGAGTGCGTACACAGGAGAAATGGGCTTGTGCATGCTCACACACATTTTAATAGGCGCTCCCTCTTAGGGAGCAGGTACAGGGTTGTGCATGTGCAATTTTTAAGGAGGGGTGGTCTTTTCAAAGATATGTGACTGGGGGGTGGGGTAGGTCGCCGGGGCGTGGCAGGGGGTCGGGTGTAGTTTATGGGGGGGGGGGGGGGGGGGGGGGGGGGGGGATAGTGTGGGAAGGGGGGGGGGGGGGGGGGGTAGGGGGGTAAAAGTTGTTGTTTTGAGGATTATGGGGGGGGGGGGGGGGGGGGGGGGGGGGGGGGGGGGGCGGTGGGGCGGGGGGGGTGGGGGGGGAAGGGAGAGAAGATGGATGTTGTAGGGGTGGGTTTTGTTGGTGTGGTTAGGTTAACTGTGTATGTTATACGAAAGTTTACAAGGTTAGGGGGGTGTAGGTGAATTTGTGTTAACCAGATAAATGGATTGAGGCTGACATCAGATCGGAAGCAGTGTCCGCGATTTATTGCCAACACAGCCCTGCGGGGAGTTCCACTGCTCCCTGCATCTTTCAGATCCACAGTGTTTTACCCCCCTACACACAGCATTATTAACAGTGTAGACTGGACAGCTTTCATCTGGAAGATCTGGATGGACTAATTGCCATTAAGAGAGATCTCTTTAGATATGACATAGGTTTATACTATCTTTCAAACTTTAAACCGCGATAGATAGACCCTTCCGACTTAACCATCAAGCAAAGTCCATACATGCATTGTCTCATGATATTTTAAACCATCTCAAAACTCTACTGCGCTCATTAAACATACTCTACTTACACTTCAGAAGTGAATTTTTAAACCCTAGCGAAGTGCTCGTCTTCAAGAATCAAGCCTGAAAGTCTTCTTCACAAACTCTAGCCTTTACATATTATATTAAATGTAAGCATTTGAAATAAGTACAACATTTTAGCGACTTTGAGCGAACCGTTCTTCCAGCAACTATCTTTTTGGAGGTGTGTCTTGTATATTTTAAATTTTGACAGAACAACTAGCATTTCTCCTCCTCCTAGCAGATATTTATACACAGCAAAAAAAACAACAACCTGCTGCTATTGACGCTGCCTTACACATTCAGCATGCCATGCCTTGGAGTCCCACAGCTACATAACAGGCCCAATAGGACTCCTTCTTCAGCCTGACAGCCTCCCTCACCGCTGGTGTCCACCAGGGTGTTCGACGGTTGCCACCTCGACATACACCAACAACCTTGCAGCCACAGCTCTGACTAGCTGCCTCTACAATAGAGGCAAGGAACATTGTCTACACTTACTCAATGTACCCCACCTCCCCCGGAATGTGTTCAAAGGTCTCCCAGATGTGGGAGTTAAAGCTCCCTCTCATGGGGGACTGTTTAATCAGCAAACCCTCACAATATGTTTGGGCCTTCCAGGTCTGACCGGCTTCTTTGTTTCCAAATTTGAAGACATTTCATTTCCCATCCAAGAAGCTTTTTCAATTCAAAATGTCAAGAATAGCGTTTAGTTTGAGGTTTTATACAGCAGCTCAACAAAGCCCTGTTTTGGTCTAGAAAACATGGAAATTGGAGCGAATTAACGGGTCCAGTGGTTTGTTTTAACTTTTTTAGAGTAACTATGACCTTAATGACTTAGAATCTTCACCAACATAAACCTCAGCCACCGCTCTAGTACTCATTGCACTTGCTGAGCAAAATGTAAAAAAATATGCAGTCTTGTCATGAATATGATTAAGCTGCATCAAATAAGTGCTGATGAAGGTTCTCGGTCATTCCGTAAAAATTAAAAAAATTGGTTTCCAAGATTTGAAGATGTTTCTCCACCTCTCCAGGAAGCTTTCTCAATTCAAATGTCTGGATCTGCAGTGAGTTTGAGTCTTATATAGAAAAAGCCTTGTATCGCTTGGAAACATGCAAATGGTAACCGATGAATGGGTCGTTTGGTTCCATCGTTAGCCTGTAATACCTGAAACCATACTATGATTGTTAAGGGTCGGTCGTTAAGGAGGTATTGTTCACTGGCTGGTGCGGGTTGGTCCCTCGTTCCTCTGTGATGGGGTGGGGGGTTTAGTGATATCTGGAAGGGATCATGTCTATGATTGAATTGTATGTTTTTGGAAGCTGGAATCTGAGTCCACCACCTCTGTTTAAAGTTGGTTTTTCTCTCTTCACATAGATGGCTTCCTTCCTCTCAAACCACCCATTTTCTTTATCCAGAATGTGAACATTCTGGTCCTCAAAAGAATGTCCTTTGTCCACAAGGTGTAGGTGTACTGCGGAGTCTTGTCCAGAGGAGGCTGCTCTTCTGTGTTGGGCCATGCATCTGGAACCAAAGAACCCATTCATCGGTTACCATTAGCATGTTTCCAAGCGATACAAGGCTTTGTCTATATAAGACTCAAACTTACTGCGGATCAAGACATTTGAATTGAGAAAGCTTCCTGGAGAGGTGGCAAAATGTCTTCAAATCTTGGAAACCAAGTCCAGTGGATATTTTTTGAATTTTTTGAATTTTTACGAAATAGTTTGGTCTGGCGTGGTGGTTCGGGGAACTGCGACTTTAGGGTTAGGGTTAGGGCTGAATTTTTTATGGAACATCAAATAAGTGTTTCCATTCCAGTTTGAAAAATATAAGAATTTGGATATAACTGACAAACCACCCCATTGTGGGTCGTGGGATTGTTGCAAAACTTGTTTAGTCCTAAAAGCAGTGCTTCCACTTAGCAAATTTATTTAAGTTATTATACTTTGCACAATTTGATTGGAGTCGTGCACACCGGGGTTCTCTTCAGTATCCCTCTTGACCATGACTGGGTGATGGAAGAGTCCATGAACGGCTGCCTTGGGCCTGGGTGACCTCAGCACTATGGTCTCTGGGGTCACGCCCTTCAGGGACTGGGCCCGTTTGTCCATCTCTTGTGTACCCTTTATCTGCGCTGCCTCTGGATATTGGACATTTATACACAAGTATTTTTATGCACACGTCCCACAGTTCTTTTGTTTCAGGTGCTTACGGATACACACTAATACTATCTTTGATATGGGATTGGAATTACAGGTCATGATAAAAAAAAAAAAACACCAAGGTTTTTACTGTATTATCTGTTGCTTGACTAATCAACTTCTTGTTTAGAGGATCTAGTCCTACAACTTCTTCTTTTGTCTTCATTCAAGGCAGAAATTTAAGAGTCATCCAGGTTTTTATATCTTCAAGACATGCTTGTTATCTCTGTTAAGGGTTACTTTAATCAGGAATTATGGACAAATAAGCAGAGTATTATCTGCATAAGTTATGATAATTCTACCAAAAGTGAGTATCTATATATATATATATATATATATATATATATATATATATATATATATTAAAGATAATTTGCCCTGATCTTGATGGAATCTTATTTACAAAGAGTACTAAAATAATATTAATGCCAAGAGCAGGGAGGATGGGTGGTTCAGTGGAGCTATGACTGTGTGAGTTTGGTATTAAAAAAATATCTTTGAATATTGGGGTTGGATAAAGTGCCTTGAGAGGACGTGTTTGTCATGGTTTTGGTTCTGTTAACCTTTACTTTGCTCCATGTTTTCCAGTTTTTTTGGTTTAATTTTTTCTATTTTGTTGTAGTTTCTAGATTTATGTTCTCAAGTTTTTCTTGGGTTTTCCTTTGTTGCCCTCTTGTGTGTGTTCCTTTCCCCTTGGTTCCCTCGTTGTCTCCTCTCACACCTGCTCCTTGTCAGCTCGTTAGCCCTCCATTTGTCTGTCAGCTACAAATGCTCTCCCTCTGCAGTCACTCCTTGTTGGTTCCTTGTTGTTGGTCCTGTCATCGCTGTTTTCGTCTCACCTCGTCTCTCCCTGGCTCCTTGTGCGTGTTTTCCACTGATGTCTCCATGGTTCTTGTCTGTGTTACATTTTTCTATGCAGCACCATGGTCGTGGCACAATATTCAAAACTCCCTGCAATTACGGACTCTTAGGGCCGGATTTATCAAGATCCAATTTTGCGTGCAGTAATTTGCGCTCGCAAACTGGAATTTTGCGCGAGGGGCTGAACCATGGTTTGCGGGTGATTTAACAAGAGTGATTGCGTAACTGGTGGCAGGTGCAAAACTGTTGGAGACGCCCTATTTAAATGAGGGTTTTGCGTTTTGTGGTTTGCGGCAAAGTAGCTTGTAGTTTGTACAAAGTAGTGCATTAAGAAATTGTAATCTTACAGTGACCCCCAAAAAAAAAATATATATATATATATATATATATATATATATATTATATTATATATATAAAGAAAAAAACTTTGGCAACCTTTATTCCCTAAGGTGGTATGTGGCTGAATTTCTACTTCACTGCAGGAAAAAAACAAAACAAAAAAAAAAACAGGTGTTTTGTATTGGCCTGTAGAAAAATGCACATACCAAATGGCTCACAAGAAGTGACTGTGGATGAGATTACTGCGCGTACGCATCCCCGCAGCATTGGCATGTTGCTCCACAGGCGCAGGAGGGAGAACCCCGACCCCGTCGGACAGCACTTCTGAAAAAACGAGATTGGGAGATTCCAGCTCTCGCTGCAACCGTACGCTGGAATGACCCAGATGCAAAAAAGTGCAGCATTGCAAGGAGTTTTGTGATATCTGGTATTGCGTGGGTCCTCCTTGTGGCTGGCTCCAAATCCATTCGGAGTTCCCCCAACAGCTCCAAAATGGCAATGCTGGATAAACGATATGTTTTGATGATCGTTTCCTCCTTCATTGCGAAATTATTTACACGGAGTGAAAAAATGCGTTCTCTGCGTCTCCTTGCTTCATTTCGATGTCTCCTTCTTGCGACAATAGCCGCTGCCATGTGTGCACAATTATGCATACAGACCATTTGCACCTTCTTTTGAAACGTGTTAAATATAGAGTCAGATACCGTTAGCAAAATTGCTTTCAGGTTTAATAAATCACTTTGCGAGTGCTAAATTAATATATTTACATGTTCTCCTCCCACAAGACGCACTTTTGCGTGTAAACGCCCCATATTGCATATTCATTGCAGAAAAAGTACTAAATGGATAAGAGGCGCTATTTAGCACGTTTTAAAGACCAAATCCTTTTAGCACGCTGTTGATAGATCAGTTTGTACATTTTTTAGCGTGCGCAGTGAAATAGCTCACGTTTTTATACACGCAAACCTTTGATAGATCCGGCCCTTATTCCGCTACAGCATTTTAAATCACTATTGAAAACCGTTGCACAGAGAATTGTATCTGTTATTCTAGAGTCTAGTTTATGATTGATTTTATTATGTTGTCCTGTGTTTTTATATGTCTTACTGTACTGCTGCCTCTTGGCCAGGTCTCCCTCGAAAAATAGATTTTATCTCAAGGGACTTCCTGGTAAAATAAAGGTAAAATAAAATAAAATAAAAAAATAAAACTTTTTAGTTGGATTTTTGGACTCCTGCCTTTGTTAACTATTTTCATCATTAAAACAACAAGAATTCACCTCAGCCTCTCTGCCTCTGCATTTAGGTCCTCTAAACCAGACAGTGACAGTGTTGTGAATTGGCTCTATATAAATAAAATGAATTGGAATACTTTTTTTTCAGTGCATAAAGATCATTATATGTTTCACATAAGATTCTGAAGAAAATATAAAGTAGCGTCTTTTCACAGTTTTCTGTTATATTTTAGGTTGTGTAAAATAGCTAGACATGAAATGTATCAGTATTTTATCATATTGATATAAATGAACAAACATCTGCTGGATCTTATAGGGAAAAAAATATTTCTTTTGTCTTTTCTATTTTGTATTAATGCTAAGAGAAATGGGCCTCTTTGTGAATATTACATTTAGAATAGCAGCCATTCAAAATGGCACTTCCAAGTCAAACGCCAGCCGGATGGCAGCCTACTCCTCTGTGACTCCCAGCTAAATCCCCTCCAACTTCCAGCCACTGGCCTTCTCCTGGGCATGCATTGTTTTGTTTTTTTACTCTGACTCCACCCTTTCACCGAATTACAGGGTTTGACCCAGAGATGACGCTTCTCTTTAGATGTTCATGTCAAATCATGACAGAACATTTTAGTACAAAGATTTATTTTGAAAAATGAATTGTAGGGGACCAGCTAAGGACCAGACAAGGAAATTGGGGAAATTTCAAATGGCTACTACTGTACACTTTTTGAAAACTGGAGCTTATAGTGTAAATTAAAAATTTGAATTTCAATATGGTTGTGTTGGGATCTGGAGGCTTGTCCACTTTCTCCACCAGAGTGCGCCTGAGATCTTCCTCCTGAGGGCATGAGCTTACTTCTACACACCTGTTTCCTGTCTGCTCATCAGAAGACCTATTTAAGGAGGAGGAGGCTGACACTTCCCTGCCAGAGTGTTTGCCAGTATTGGTACAGCAAAACCTGAGCCAGCTACTCTGATCTGAAACCCTGATTTTTGTGAACCAATCTGATCCTGTATTCTTCTGCCTCACAGATCCTGACTAATCTGGAAACCTGTCATCCTGGAGAAAATAATCTCTGTCTGGAATCTGCCTGCCTGCACTCCATCTCAGTCTCTGCCTCTGCCCTCAGCCCTCTGCCTGCCGATTAGCCTCTGGACCCACAAGGTTCCCCTCTGCTGATCAGATTCCTCTCTGAGCAGGTATTTATCCCCGTCATCTGTAAACTGCAAGTTTCCTGGATCAACTCTAACTGCTCTGTCCTCCTCAGTGGCTTCCCTCCCGTGACCAGTCAGAAGAACCAAAAACCTGTGCACCCATTAATTTGTGAACTTTGTAAAATAAATCATTTAACTTTTCTCTGTTTCAAAGAGTGATTTCTGCATGTGGGTTAGACGCCTAGAACCCAACATGACAGGTTGTTGTTAATGTTGTTGACCTTTTTGTCCTTATAGAATGGGTTTTAATTGGTGTAAATATGTTTCCTGCCTAAAACGGGATTTGCAGCTGTTATACTCTGTGTATTTGTTCCCTTCGTACGTAATATTCTGGCGAACGTGTTCAGCACAAGCTACAACCTTACAACTGCACATGTAGAAAAGGAAAACAAAGCTGTTTCTGACATTTAGGTCCTCTTAATGCCATTCAAGAGTGAGAGTAAATTCTTATCAAACGTTCTTCATTCGGTTGAAGGTAGTGAAACTTTTTTCCATGTTAAACGGACATATAGTTCCACATTTCCTTAAGTGCAAAAAAATAAAATAAAATCTGGCGTGCCAAAGGGCTTGGATGCAAAAAAGGCGTAACTTGGATGTGCGTCAAACATAAACCAGCTTAAGTCAGTTTCTAACAATCTTACTGTATGCCTAAGGTCTTCCAGCTGATTTTAATGAATTTTTCATTACATTGAATTAATTTTCTCTTAAGGCTGATTATTAAATAATAAAAAAAACTTATCATATTGCTAGAATAAAAAATTATTAAATCTCAAAATATTTTAGAACAACTTCACCTGGACTCTCCATAAATGTTGGTTGGATTTGACGTACTAATATAGTTTTATAATTTAGATCTCAAAAGTTTAACTCTCAAGTGAATCAACTTTTTTTTTTCTCTTAAAATATGAATCAAAATATTTTGGTCAAAGTCACAGGCTGTTGCCATTTTAGGAGAAGTAGCAGATATGTTGTATTGTTTTTATCACTAATATGTAAAAGATTTGGACTCCAGGAGAACTCCAGACATTTCAGAAATGTTTCTTTAGCCCTTAAATCTATCTAACCATGTGTCAAAGATGCTAGATGATATGCATTGCTTTAGAATTCCTTGTTTTTAGAAATATTTTTTAAGTATGCACAGTGACACTCTCTCTTAAGTCAAATATACAATGACAGTAATATCTTGTCTCACGTTTGCTCTTTGGATTACCAAAAGTGAGACAAAAATCGTGCTTTTACTTTTGCTCTTGAACAAAAGCAAACCTGAAATATAGTAAGATTTTCATGGAGGCCACAAGCTTTAGCAACAAAAACTTTTTTCAGAATGATAAAAACTCCTTTAAAACATTGTTAATTTGTTTTTTTTATTTTTTCAGAAAGGAGGAGTATCTGTTCTAATAGAAACCCTCTAACTACAGTTAGGACCATGTTGGGTTTTCCTCGCAGAGTAATTAAACATTAAGCAGGACTACTATCTGGATCCAATAACATGTTGTCAGGTACAGTTCAGGTCAAATATACTTACTGTAAAACACAGAGCGATGACCAGAATGGTGAAGGGCAAACACACATGGATGTTGATCCATACCATCATCTCTAAATATTCCATAGACATTTGTAAGGACCTTCCTGGATAGTCCGAAGGTGGAAAGTAAATTTTGTTTCTTCTTACTGCAAGCTTTGTTGATCCTAGAAATCCCTGTGACATAGAGTTAAAATGTCATTAAAAAAACTTTTATATTTTACCTTTGTTTTAAAATTTTACAAATTTCCACGCCGTTTAGAAGATTCTGTGTTTCTGAAAACTTTAAACCAGCTTCATACTCCTAATATACTCTTATCAGTTCCAATCACCAGAGAATCAACTTCAATGTCCTCAAATAAGTGCAAAACTATCATATATCAATTACTTGTTGCATTTTATTCTCTAAAGAGTAAAATAAAATTAAGACTATTTTCAGAATAATCGTTCTGCTTTGATTTAATTTGAGACATTTTACTCACGACTGTTACTCAGCTTTCCAGTTCAACACGAGATCGTTTAAATCACCAGACTCAGACTTCAGAGGTTTTTACACTGAGTCTGCAGTGAGGAAACTGGTAAATTCTAGTAGAGTGTTTACTCCACCTCCTTGTGGAAGCAGAAAGTAGAAAAAAAATTTTTTTTGCTTCTTAGACTTTGGAGTTTTAGTTTTAGTCATTATTATTATTTATTTATATTATTATTATTACTCGTACTCGTACTCGTCGTCTCCCGCTTTATCCGGAACCGGGTCGCGGGGGCAGCAGGCTAAGCAGAGACTCCCAGACTTCCCTCTCCGCAGACACCTCCTCCAGCTCTGTTGGGGGAAGCCCTAGGCGCTCCCAGGCCAGCCGAGAGACATAGTCTCTCCAGCGTGTCCTGGGTCGTCCCCTGGGCCTCCTCCCGGTGGGACATGCCTGGAACACCTCCCGAGGGAGGCGTCCAGGGGGCATCCGAAGAAGATGTCCGAGCCACCTCAACTGACTCCTCTCGATGTGGAGGAGAACCGGCTCTACACTGAGCCTCTCCCGAATGACCGAGCTCCTCACCCTATCTCTAAGGGAGAGCCCAGCCACCCTGCGGAGAAAGCTCATTTCAGCCGCTTGTATCCGGGATCTCGTTCTTTCGGTCATGATCCAAATTTCATGACCATAGGTGAGGGTAGGAACGTAGACCGACCGGTAAATTGAGAGCTTTGCCTTTTCGCTCAGCTCTCTCTTCACCAGGACAGACCGGTGCAGCGTCCGCATTATTGCAGCAGCCGCACCGATCCGTCTATCGATCTCCCGCTCCATTCTTCCCTCACTCGTGAACAGGACTCCAAGATACTTGAACTCCTCCACTTGAGGCAAGGACTCCCCTCCAACCCGAAGGGGACAAGCCACCTTTTTCCGGTCGAGAACCATGGCCTCGGATTTGGAGGAGCTGATTCTCATCCCGGCCGCTTCACACTCGGCTGCGAACCGCCCCAGCGCACGCTGTAGGTCTTGGCAGGAGGGAGCCAGCAGAACTACGTCATCCGCAAAAAGCAGGGACGAGATCCGCTGTTCCCCAAACCAGACCCCCTCCGGTCCTTGGCTGCACCTAGAAATCCTGTCCATAAAAGTTATGAACAGGACCGGTGACAGAGGGCAGCCCTGTCGGAGTCCAACATGCACCGGGAACAGGTCCGACTTAATGCCGGCAATGCGAACCAGACTCCTGCTCCGCTTGTACAGAGAACGGATGGCCCCTAATAAAGGGCCCCTGACTCCATACTCCTGGAGCACCCCCCACAGGGCAGCACGAGGGACACGGTCGAATGCCTTCTCCAAGTCCACAAAACACATGTGGACTGGTTGGGCAAACTCCCATGAACCCTCAAGCACCCTACAGAGGGTGTAGAGCTGGTCCACCGTTCCACGGCCAGGACGAAAACCACACTGCTCCTCCTGCAGCCGAGGTTCGACAATCAGCCGGACTCTCCTCTCCAGCACCCTGGCATAGGCCTTTCCGGGGAGGCTGAGAAGTGTGATTCCCCGATAGTTGGAACACACCCTCCGGTCCCCCTTCTTGTGGAGGGGAACCACCACCCCAGTCTGCCAATCCAGGGGAACTGTCCCCGACCTCCACGCGATGTTGAAGAGACGTGTCAACCATGACAGCCCGACAACATCCAGAGCTCTGAGATACTCAGGTCGGATCTCGTCCACCCCCGAAGCCTTGCCACCGTGGAGTTTTTTGACTACCTCGGTGACTTCAGCCTGGGTGATGGACGAACCCAGCCCCAAGCACCTCGTCTCTTCTTCCCCCACGGAAGGCATGTCTGTCGGGTTGAGGAGATCCTCAAAGTATTCCTTCCACCGCCCGACAATATCCTCCTTCAAGGTCAGCAGCTCCCCACACCCACTAAAAACAGTGTTAGTGAAGCACTGCTTTCCCCTCCGGAGGCGCCGGACGGTTTGCCAGAATCGCTTTGAGGCCAACCGATAGTCTTTTTCCATGGCCTCTCCAAACTCCTCCCAGGCCCGAGATTTTGCCTCTGCAACCGCCCGGGCCGCGACACGCTTGGCCTCACGGTACCTGCTTGCTGCTTCAGAAGTCCCACAAGCCAGCCAGGCTTGATAGGACTCCTTCTTCAGCTTGACGGCATCCCTTACTATCGGTGTCCACCACCGGGTTCGGGGATTGCCACCACGACAGGCACCGCAAACCTTACGGCCACAGCTACGGGCAGCCGCATCGACAATAGAGGCAGAGAACACAGCCCATTCGGACTCCATGTCTCCAACCTCCCTCGGAACCTGAGAGAAGCTCTCCCGGAGGTGGGAGTTGAACACGTCTCTGACCGAGGGCTCCACCAGACGTTCCCAGCAGACCCTCACTACACGTTTGGGCCTGCCGAGTCTTTCAGGCTTCCTCCTCTTCCAGCGTATCCAACTCACCACCAGGTGGTGGTCGGTGGACAGCTCCGCCCCTCTCTTCACCCGAGTGTCCAAGACATGCGGCCGAAGATCAGAAGATACGACTACAAAGTCGATCATCGACCTTCGGCCTAGGGTGTCCTGGTGCCAAGTGCACCGATGGACATCCTTATGCCTGAACATGGTGTTCATTATGGACAATCCGTGACTTGCACAGAAGTCCAATAATGAGACACCACTCGGGTTCAGAGCTGGGGGCCCGTTCCTCCCGATCACGCCCCTCCAGGTGTCACTGTCGTTTCCCACGTGGGCGTTGAAGTCTCCCAGCAGAATGATGGAATCCCCGGGAGGGGCGCTTTCTAACACCCTCCCCAGGGATGCTAAGAAGGCCTGGTACTCCGTACTGCCGTTCGGCCCATAGGCCGAAACAACTGTCAGAGTCCTCCCTCCAACCCGAAGGCGAAGGGAGGCGACCCTCTCGTCTACCGGGGTGAACTCCAACACGAGACGGCTGAGCTGGGGGGAGACAAGCAGCCCCACCCCCGCCCTCCGCCTCTCCTCGCGGGTAACTCCAGAGTAGAAGAGAGTCCAGCCTCTCTCAAGGAGCTGGGTTCCAGAGCCCTGGCTGTGCGTAGAGGAGAGCCCAACTATTTCTAGCTGGTATCGCTCCACCTCCCGCACAAGCTCGGGCTCCTTCCCCCCCAGTGAGGTGACATTCCACGTCCCCAGAGCTAGTTCAAGCGCCCGCGGATCAGGTCGCCGAGGTCTCCGCCTCTGGCTGCCGCCCAATCCTCTTTGCACCGGTCCCTCATGGTTCCCCCTGCAGGTGGTGGGCCCACTGGGGGATGGCCTCGCGTCGCTCCTTCGGGCTGGGCCCGGCCGGGTCCCGCGAGGAAGAACCCGACCACCAGGCGCTCGCCGACGAACCCCAACCCCAGGCCTGGCTCCAGGGTGGGGTCCCGGCTCCGCCGTACCGGGCGACGTCACGTGCCTCGTTTGAGTCCTCGTCATAAGGGTTTTTGAACCGCTCTTCGTCTGACCTGTCACCCAGAGCCTGTTTGCCTTGGGAGACCCTTCCAGGGGCATTTAGCCCCCGACAACATAGCCTCTGGGATCACCCAGGCACTGAAACCCCTCCACCACGTTAAGGTGGCGGTTCAAGGAGGGGTTATTATTATTATATTCTTTATTTTTAGCAGATATTCTGGTCAGGTTAAAAATAATAATAATTAAACTTTATTAATCTCACACTGGAGAAATTAACCTTTGCCTTTAACTCGTCCCCTTTAGGAGCAGTGGCCTGCCACTGTACGTCGCCTGGGGAGCAGTGTGGGTTTAGGGGTCAGCTACGACTAATATTCTTCACCATTGTTGAATAGCCGGTTGCTAAGTCGGCTAATGCTACTGCCAGCCAAAGGTTAACTTTGTCAGTTTAGAAGAAATGTGATACTGTAAGCTCCATGTGGCTCCTGGACCCCTTTAATTTCTTTAGCTGGCACCAAAACCCAAAAGCTTGAAAGATGCTTGTTCATGTTTAGCTTTGAACAAATGCATTTTCAGTGCATCAAAAGCCTCAATTTGGTTGATAGTTCATTGTGAAGTCAGACGATCTGACAACTGGTTGATTCTTTTTGTTGCAATGGACAGAGTGGCTATGCTTTTTTGTTTTGAGGATTTGGAAAAAAGTAAACCAGGAGTTATAATTCATATAGGTATTATAGGAATTATAAACTGTTTTGTCACAGTCAAAAAAAGAGGAACATTTAGTGGGGTAATAATCACCACTGCGCTCTGTATACCTGTCCATAATAAATACATTGACCTGATTTTTTTTTAAACTAGTGCAGTTCATCCCCTTCTATATAGATTCATTTTTCATAGTTTATTAGAGACAGCGCTGGAGAGCCGATCATGGCTTCCGTGTAGCGAGTGTCTCTCAGGTAGCTCCAGGTTGATGCTCAGCATCCAGCGAAAGTTCAGATTTCTCATGTCCCTCGTCTGCTGCTCTGGACTCTGAAAGCTGGCCCGCTCAAAACATGCTGCCCCCCAGACCCAGCTGAAGAAATATATTAAAGGAGGGGTATTCCATATTTTCAGGGGGCACACTTTCTCAACAAACTTTCTTTGTATGAGTGGGGCTTAACAAAGGCTCTGTGTCCACTCCCTCTCTTTGGATTGGTGGAATGATATGATTGGCAGATCTCAGATAGGAATGATTGGCACCTCCACACTAAAAAACAAAACCCTAAAAAAATAAATACTTTTCAGCCCAGGGCGGGCACAGGTGTCTCCTGGTGCCCCCCCAAAGCTGGAAACAATCATATAAGAGAGGCTGCTCCCAATGCTCACATTGTACCGCTGGACCTCTGGTTCTTCAATGCAGTCTCCAACAGACGTTGCATGTAATCCAGACAACATGACACCTTTAACATTTTTGATATGAACTATCGTAAAGATAGTAAGATCTGACGACGCCTGATCTCCATCTCACGTAACTTTACTCTACTTATTACTGCAGAATCCTTTTGTGATAATATTCACGTCATCAATAAATAAATATTTATATAGATTGACTCATCAAAATTAATAAAACAATAATGTATATATTTTTTAAAGCAAGATTTCTTCTTTTATTTACAGCATATATTTATTAAATAATTAATTTGGGTAAAAACTTTTTTAAAGAATTAATTCAGTCGAAGCATTACCTGTTAACAAGAGAACAACCTAATAACATTTTTTTAAATGTATTTTTATATTTTTAAGAATCTGTGTCATGCATATCTGGATTCCTATAATTATTAGCAAAAGAAAAAAAAAGATTTTGCAGGACATTTAACAGAGGTTTACAGAAAACGTTTTATTTTAGAGATTACAGAGTGACAGTGTGAAACTCTGCAGCATGTAGGTACCAGTTGTAAAATAAATACACAATAAATTCAAGATAGAAAAAAATGAGTAATATATTAAGAACAACAAAAAGTCATGTATTAGCCATAAAACAAACCCCTAGAAACAGTAAGGTGAAGGACAGTCAGAGACGGATATTCAGCAGAATCAAGTTAAGAGAACTTTAAAAATTTTTCTGGTATTTTGTTTTAAATTATATAAAACAAATTTCTTTTTGATAAATATGAATAATTCAGTAAAAAATCTTTTGTTATGGAAATATAACTCAAACTGACCAGCTGTTGCAGGTTCGAGTCTCTCCTGTCTACATACAGCAAAATAAAGGCCACTAAAGCATTAAAAAAACAATCTTAAAAAAAAACTTTTGATCTGAAGGGGAATTTTGAACAACAGCTGATAAAGCAAAGTGCACCGTTTCACAAAGCTCCCTAAAAACTAGAATTAATAACAATTAATTTGTTATTGTTTTCGTGTCAAACATTTATTCAAGTTTATTTTTTCTATTACTGTTATCCAGTGTTTGTTAGTGAATCTATTATGCTTTGTAGAGATTTAACCTATAAGTTATTATATTTTAATGATAATGTGGAAAACAATGTGTAATTCTAATTAGAATTTAAATAAAAGTAATTGCTGTAACCATTGTGTGATGATAACCCTGGAAACATTATATTGTCACTGTCTTTAGCTAATAATGAGTTAAAATTATTACCCTCTAATTAGCGATAAAGTTGTTTGAATTTAACTGCAGCTCATTTAGCATCGATGTCTCAGCTAAAAGTTTTCTCAGTTTCTTATCAACCACATCAGATTCTTTTGCACCGAGAAGTGGTTCTCCCTCACTGAGCTACGCTGTGGTGAAGCGAGTGGTAGGAAGTTAGATACCGATCAAAATGCAACAGCAACATGAAAGCAGCAAACATTTTAAGAAAATATGTTTTTAACTTTATGCTTATGAGGCCCATTTAGGATTATTCTTATGTTGGTCCATGCTTATAGATAAACATGAGAACTAAATACACTTATTTGTTGAAATACTCAGAAATTTTGAAATCTTTCCAATTCTTTCAAGAAATAAATTAAGTTAATTTCTCAACTTTAAAAGAATTTGCAGGGTATGAAAGATTTTACATTAATAACTTTTAATATTGTTAATTACTCTGTATTTTCAGTTTCTAAACTCCTAAAAGAAGTCAGTCAGTTCAATGGTAATTAGGGATCAATATTTGTTACAAAAGAGAAAAAAGACTTCGGTATGAAATAAAGATTAGACATAGGTCTATATTTTAATCATTAGTCTTGCATAAAAAATATTTTGTTGACAGCAGAATTTTACTTTAAGGAATCCCACATAGTTGTTACTGCTGAGGATTGAGGAAATGTAAATATGTACAGGTTTGACAACTGCGTTAAGAATGGATCTAAGATTATTCTTGTTCTCATCTATTAATGATGAAAAATGCACTGCTCCATCTTAAAGATTGTTTATTTCTCAATGTACTATTTTCCAAATTAAAGCTGTTAAGAAATAAAACAACAGGATACCAAAATGTGTAAGCTATTTCTTTATTGAAAGATTTAAACTTACACAAATATATATCAAAAACTGGATGGGGTCACAGCAGGGAAAAAGGTGAAAGCAGCAATTTAAAAGACATTAGAAAAAATATTTTCCTAGCACTGTGTTAACAGAAAGCAATGCAAAATGAAATATTTTGATGCGCACAAAAAAGTGTAAAAATGAAGTTAATAATAAACACAAATATTAAAAACAAAATACAATATTAAAAAGTTGAAAGGAAACCATTGGAAATGTATATTAAATAGAGCTGTGATAGGAAAATTCAATTCAATTCAATTCAATTCAATTCAGTTTATTTATATAGCGCCAAATTCACAACACATGTCATCTCAAGGCACTTTACAGTTCAACCAGATCAAATTGATACAAAGTTTTCTATCTAAGGAAAACCAGTTGATTGCATTGACTCATTGACTCAAATACAATCCCCCACACTAAGCATGCTTGTAGCGACAGTGGAGAGGAAAAACTCCCTTTTAACAGGAAGAAACCTCCAGCAGAACCAGGCTCAGTGTGAGCGGCCATCTGCCGAGGCCGACTGGGGTTCAAGGAGACAGAAGCAGAGATACAAAAAGCAGCTGTAAAAGGCGGCCCCGTCCAGGAAACACACAGCCAGGCAGACGAGCTCCAAGGCAGCTCCCATGCCAGAGGACGAAGAAAGCACATCCACTCAGTCACGGTCAGAGAAACAGGACCACACTGGAAAACAGGCCGATCTCCAACATCTATAAACATCATCATAAATCAAAATAAAACAAACTTTGTCCGTTTTACTGTTGCCTGTTTTCATCTTATGGCTTTGTTCTTTGAATTTCTAAATACTCTAGACTGTTGACTATGAATATGCATCGAAAAATCTACCTTTTGTTTTTTACATTTAAATAAGTGGTATAATTGTAGAAATAGGCCCATTACAAGATATTTTATTCTTCATTTTCTCCCTTTGCTTCTGTGTGAGCTCTCTGCTCAGTGCCGTCAGTCAGTCATTCAGACTGCCATTATGATGCCGTCATTTCCAGCAGGGTTTTCAGTCCTGCAGCAGCAAAGACGCATCAAACCTTTACACATGAAAATAAATGGAAAGAAGTCAAAAATAAAACTGGTCATATACGGAGATGTACTCTCGAAATCGCATCTCTGTAAATAATTGGGATGGGGACCTTGAAAGAACATACACAAAAGGACTGTTGAAAAGATTGCCACAAAGTAGGAAATCATCAGGACAGCTAGAAGCAAAACAGTTTTGCATTTTTCTCTACCTGAAAATGAAATATTTTTAGCTTGTGATTTGAGAAAATAAAGTAAACAGACAACAAAAACTGGGGAAGGCAGAAGCATAAGGATTAGGTAGGATAATTCCTGTTGAAGTAAAACGGATAGAGGGACAAAAACAATACAAAACACCCAGACCAAAACGCTGACAATCACAAAACCTTTGGTTTGTGTGATGCAGTTTGACGTCGGGCAGGAGATGGAGAAACATCTGCAACAAAAGACAGAAAAACAAACTAAATACTGAATAAAACACATGTACCCAAATTACTTGGTGCTTTAGTATTTCAAAAGTCTGTACCTCTCCAGAGCGATGATCATCCTGAAGCAAAGACTGACCCAGGCAAATATGGAATAGATATACACAGCAGGTCTATACATATACCAACGTACAGCTTGTGGAGGAAGACCAATCAGCATAATGAGCTGAATTAGATTCGAAAAGAGGAGATTCATGTAGTAGGACACAGGACCAAGATCCAATCTCACCTGCAGACACATTCACAGGAAATTAAAAACATTTAGTAATTATGGAATATAATGATCCCATTAAATTGTCTGACACGTTTTAAGATCATCACAGTTTTATACTTACCAGGAAGCACAAAGCGATGAGCAAGAAAGTGACAGGAAGACAGACTCTAATGTTGATCCAAGTAATCACAGCGAGGTAATTGGAAAATAGGTCCATTTTTTGTTGATTTCTGAGGCGATAACTCTTCCTCATGAAGAACACCCTGTTGGACGTAAAATTATAATGTTTTCATACAACACAATTTGGATATTAAATTACTGTGAATAATCATAAGAAATTGGTTAAAACTTTTCTGTTTTTCCAAATTCCACCAAAAAACTGTTTAAATGGAAAAAGCACAAAGAAAAAAAATGGGCAACTAATTATGAATAAAAAAAGCAATCATAAAAACATGCCGTTTTTTTTTTTTTTTTTCGGTTACCAATTTCTCTACAGTGTGACACCATGGGTTGTTCATATCGACTTTAAAAGATTATAAGCACTATTTACCTGTATGAACAAAGACCTGCTTTTCTGGGTGTTTTAGCGTGAAGATTGTTTTTCTTTTTTTTTGTTTAAAAAACAGACTTTTTCTGTTGTTTGCTTCTGTGCCTTAGAAACAAGAGCAAATTTCACATTGCCATTCAAGTGAAAAAGGCTGCAAGTCATTGGCCATCAATAAGCAACAATCTACAAAAGATGACTGTTACTTGATACCTTGAGCTTAAACAAACAAAAGAAAATTACCTTCGCTTAAAAAGCTTTTTCATTATTAAAAATATTACTGTATTGTTAAGATTAATGTATTTTCATTTCCTTTATAGTTTTGGGAGCTAAATTCTTTTTTATTTTAAAACTAGAATGAAAAAGCTTATAGGAATAAAACAATGAAGTAAGAGAAAGATGGAAAAAATTACTTTATTACTGTCTGTAGGGAAATGTTTTCATGTATAATCATTGTACAAAGCTTAAACTTGAAAGTAACAATTAAACCTTGAAAGTAACAATTAAAATTATATATATATATATATATATATATATATATATATATATATATATATATATATATATATATATATATATATATATATATATATATATATATATATATATATATATCCTAGTACTTTACAAAGCAGACTGGCAAAATGAAACTCAAACATAAGAAAAAAAAAGAGTATACATTTTCAAAATGCTTACAATCACTAAAATTTCTTCAAAGATGGTTGAAGAAAACCTTTTATGTAAATGTCTACATTATTAAAATAAAAAGAGAACAATAAAACTACAAACAGGCTGTAGCCTACATGGTTCAAAGCTTGTTAAAATCTTTCTAAATATTTGATATTTCTCTGAATTTCCAAAACAAAGTCTCCCTTATCATCCTGGGCCTGGATTCTTCTACTGAACGACAAAATAGCAACAACAAAAAAATAAATGCTGAACAACATCTAGTATTTCTAAACATTTTAAGGCTAATGCGCTCCACAGAAATGCCTGCATTTATAAACCCATGATAAAAAACCTGAAATCTTTATGGCAAATATAATCAATGAGTTTCAGAGATTTATTTCTCCTTGGCTTTTGTAGCGAGATTAATTTCCACCAGAAGCAGGAAATCAAGTTCTAACATCAAAGGGTTCCACTACACTCTGTGGAACTTGGAAAATATTTATTTCCTATTAATTAAAACAACCATTAAAGTAGACTTAATTTCTATAAAAATGTAAGAGTGTCAATAACTGTAACCTGCATGTACAGTAGCAGCTATTCAGAATGGCCCTTCCCAGTCAAACACCAGCTGAATGGCAGCCCACTTCCCTCCAACTCCCAGCAAAATCCCCTCCAACTTCCAGGCACTGGCCTTTTCCTGGGCCTGCATTTTTTTTCCCACCCTTTCACTGAATTACAGGGTCTGACCAGGAGATGACGCTTCTCTTTAGGTCTTAATGTCCACAAATCATGACAGAATATTTTAGTAGAAAGATTGATGTTTTAAAGGGAATTGTAGGTTCAGCCATGGAAAGAAGGGATATTTTGAATTGGCACTACTCTACTGTATATTATAAGCATGTGTCATAATGTGGGGCTTTTGTTCCTCATTAAGTGGATGTACTCATTTAAAATATGTTGTTATTTTCAGCATAATATGATGGTACTGCGCTAAAGTATTTAAGGTGTTACCTGCAGTACTTTTCAAGGGTGTACGTAAATATAAAAGGAGTTATAAATGATGTGTAGGAACTGGGATTCAAATTATTTGCTAATGTAACCCTTACTACTGTCACCTTCTTTTGAAGCAAAACTAAAATATTGTTTATTATCCCCAGACTATGTCTAAGGTGTCTCCATGTGCATTTAGTCCTGTAATCTTTGATTTTATGTATTTATTTTGTTATCTATACTTGATCTCCTTGTCTTTCTGCTACCCTGAGTGTGTCTGAGCTCAGTAGTCTGTCCTGTCTAACAGCTGATGTGCTTCTCTCCTCCTCTGCAGGGTTCCTCCTCCTGCAGCAGCACAAACACATCAGCAGCTGAATAAAAGGGCCTTTAGATATGAAAACTAACAAAAGGAAATCAATTAAAGGGCAGTGCAGCATCAATGTAAAGGCCATCTTCAAAAAAGGTAGATCTATCAAATGAACAATAACAGAGGGAATTAATGCTGCGTAATTAATCAGCAGAATAACTAATGATCCAACCACTCTGCACTTTTCTTCAGCTCGGTCTAAGGTGGGAGTACAGAGTGACATAATGGTTACAACTAGACAGATAAAAAACATGGCAGTAAAAATCAAGAAAAGCATTTTGGTATAAGCCACGTCAAAGAAAAAGATGAGGAAAAGAACAATCGAGAATGCCCAAGCCAAAGAACAGAATGTTACAAAGCCTCTCATTTTTCTTATGAAATCGAACTGTGGCCTGCAGAGGAAAAGACTCCTGAAAAAGAAGAAACAAAGATATTAGAAAACATAGAAATAGAGCACCTCTGAGGCGAACGAAAGCTTGGATAAGGCGAGGTACCTTTCAACAGCAAAGATCATCCTGAAGCAAACACTGCCCACCCCACTGTAGCAGTAGAGAAAAAACACATCAGACAGGCGATAATAATAAAAAGGATATGTTCTATGTATGCAAAATGTCAGAATGATGATCTGGATCAGATTGAATATGAGGAGGTTAATGTAGTAGGTGACTGGAATATGATCCAATCGCACCTGCAGGAAAAACACGCATAGAGTCACATCAGGGGTGTTAAAAAATAGATATACTGACATTTTTTTGTGCATCCTCCATCTGACAGCTGAAAGATACAACTTCAACACAGCAGGTATACCCCAGAATGAGCCACATGAAATTAATTTCATATTTTCTTAAACCATGTTACAGTTTAGGCCTGTGATGTACTTTAATCCCCAGCTGGGGCTTACTGGCAGTCAAATAACGACTTTATTTTCTACTATTGAATAAAAACGTAGAATTAAACACATCTTACAGATGTTTTTTTTTCTTTTAGCCTCATTCTTGCTCAGTAAATCCAACAATCTCTCAATAGCAAGCTAAACTAAACCTACAACATCACAGCATTTCAATAAAGTAACTCATTATAAGTAATAATTATTGACACTAGTATTTTATTTATAAAACTGGAATAACAATTTGTATATATTTAACAATAAAAATGACAAAAATAATCAAGATTGGTTCATACATACCACAAAACACAGAAAGATGACCAAAAAGATGAGAGGACAGCAAACATTGATGTTAATCCAAACCATTATCTCAAAATATTGACTTGTAAGCATTATTTCTTCTCCTTCATTAAATGTTCTCATTTTGGTCTTTTGAGAAACCCCTGTTATTTGGAAATAAAAGTTTATTTTAACCACTCTGGTTATTTTTGTATAAAGGAGATCTATAGAGATAAGAGAAAGAGAGCCCTTTGTGAAAGAAAAAAAAAAAAATATATATATATACAGGTGCTGGTCATAAAATTAGAATATCATGAAAAAGTAGATTGATTTCAGTAATTCCATTTAAAAAGTGAAACTTGTATATTATATTCATACATTACATACAAACTCATATATTTCAGATGTTTATTTTGTTTAATTTTGATGATTACAAATGACAACAAATGAAAATCTCAAATTCATCATATCAGAAAATTAGAATATTGTGAAAAGGTTCAAAATTGATGGCCCCTGGTGCCACACTCTAATCAGCTAATTAACTCAAACCACCTGCAAAAGCCTTTAAATGGTCTTTCAGTCTAGTTCTATAGGCTACACAATCATGGGGAAGACTGCTGACTTGACAGTTGTCCAAAAGACGACCATCGACACCTTGCACAAGGAGGGCAAGACACAAAAGGTCATCGCTAAAGAGGCTGGCTGTTCACAGAGCTCAGTGTCCAAGCACATTAATAGAGAGGCGAAGGGAAGGAAAAGATGTGGTCGAAAAAAGTGTACAAGCAAGAGAGATAACCGCACCCTGGAGAGGATTGTGAAACAAAACCCATTCAAAAATGTGGGGGAGATTCACAAAGAGTGGACTGCAGCTGGAGTGAGTGCTTCAAGAACCACCACACACAGACGTATGAAAGACATGGGTTTCTGCTGTCGCATTCCTTGTGTCAAGCCACTCTTGAACCATAGACAGCGTCAGAAGCGTCTTGCCTGGGCTAAAGAGAAACAGGACTGGACTGCTGGTGAGTGGTCCAAAGTCATGTTCTCTGATGAAAGTAAATTTTGCATTTCCTTTGGAAATCAAGGTCCCAGAGTCTGGGGGAAAAGAAGAGAGGCACTTAATCCACGTTGCTTGAAGTCCAGTGTAAAGTTTCCACAGTCAGTGATGGTTTGGGGTGCCATGTCATCTGCTGGTGTTGGTCCATTGTGTTTTCTGAGGTCCAGGGTCAACGCAGCCACATACCAGGAAGTTTTAGAGCACTTCATGCTTCCTGCAGCTGACCAACTTTTTGGAGATGCAGATTTCATTTTCCAACAGGACTTGGCACCTGCACACAGTGCCAAAGCTACCAGTACCTGGTTGAAGGACCATGGTATCCCTGTTCTTAATTGGCCAGCAAACTCTCCTGACCTTAACCCCATAGAAAATCTATGGGGTATTGTGAAGAAGAAGATGCAATACACCAGACCCAACAATTCAGAAGAGCTAAAAGCCACTATTAGAGCAACCTGGGCTATCATAACACCTGAGCAGTGCCACAGACTGATCGACTCCATGCCACGCCGCATTGCTGCAGTAATACAGGCCAAAGGAGGCCCAACTAAATACTGAGTGCTGTACATGCTCATACTTTTCATGTTCATACTTTTCAGTTGGCCAACATTTCTATAAATCCTTTGTTTTTATTGGTCTTCAGTAATATTCTAATTTTCTGATATGATGAATTTGAGATTTTCATTTGTTGTCATTTGTAATCATCAAAATTAAACAAAATAAACATCTGAAATATATGAGTTTGTATGTAATGTATGAATATAATATACAAGTTTCACTTTTTAAATGGAATTACTGAAATCAATCTACTTTTTCATGATATTCTAATTTTATGACCAGCACCTGTATATATATATATATATATATATATATATATATATATATATATATATATATATATATATATATATATATATGCTAGAAATTAAAAATAGATAATTTTTAGTGAGACAGACATGGTAATTTTTTTCATAGAGGTTAGGAAACACTGTCGACAGTGATTTTCATTTTTTTACATAAAATGCATCCTAAAATGTCTTTTCAATGGTAGCAGCCCTTCACTCCAGTCTCCTGCTAATAAATGTTTGTTTAAAGCTGCAATCCATCACAATTTACTGGTATGCAATCTCTATGTAGTACATGCAGAAATTATGATCATTCCCAAAATAATTTGACGCTTTTCTTTTACCCATTACTATAGGAATGAGAAAAATTAATAAAAAAAAATATATATATATATATATATATTTACTTACAACTGTGTTTCCAGCCTCAGATCAGCACTCTGATTATGTTTTTAAGAGTCTGCAGCTGAGTTATTGTGGCATCTCTTATGCTACCTCCCCCTGCCTCAGACAAACACCTCATCTTTTTTTTTTTAAGTTATAATTTTCTGAGCCATTTTTAAAATCTATCCCTGTAATCAGAGCACTTCTGCTGCTAAAACTAAAACTATTACTGTAGATTTTTACATGATGGTATTGTTGGGCAGTTTTTCTAAACGTTGCTAAAGATGAAAGATGCTTTAACTGTAGAAAAACAAAGTGTAAACCAATATCTGAGGTTCCCTTTTATTAGATGAATGGGAAGGACTCATAGAGTGAATAAATAACCTTTACTTAAAGTAAAAATTTAATGTTGTACTTTTTACTTCTATTTGATTAAGTAGGTTTAGTTGTATTTTAGTACAATTTTATTAATATAACTATGTTTTTAATAACGTATATTATTTTCCTACTCATTCAACCTCTGATTGTGACAAAATTAAAGGTTAGTGTTTCAGTCAGGTATGGGGCTGAAGAGAGCTATGATCTTTTGCTGAGAAGGGACTGTCACAAATACACAAATAAAAACACACATTGTGTAAGGTCTGTTATCTCATGGTTTATTGGGTTACAAGAAATGATGTTTTTCCATGGTACCACTTGCCAAAAATGAAGATAATCACTTCTGTTTAACATCAGTATATGAACATTAACGCTTTTCTACCAAGTTCTCAAGTCATTTAAAGATATCTGAAAAAAATACTCTGCGCTCTGATTGCTGCACATCTCCAGAAGTTCTCTGCTGCCCGGTGCTAAAACTAAATTAAATACTGTTTTTTTCACAGTCACCTGCTGAGTGGCTCACCTCGCTGTGAGTGAAAATAAATTAAACCGGTATCGGGGAATAGGCACCCAAACCGGGTTTTTACTACCAAAATTGCTGTACTATTGAGGCCCAAAGCTGGTATGGGCTGCTCCCTTTAAACCTTTTAGTAGAGGGTTTATGGCAGAGCAGTAAGTAAGGTCTGTATAGACGACAATAATGTTGCATCAGGCTAAGAGGCTGAGATCCCAATCCAACTGTTTCTAAAATATTACAAAATGTAGGACTTGTATTATTCTTTTATTTGTAATATGTAAATGTGGATAAAGAAGTTAAAAATGAAAATCGAAACTGGCTGCTTATGCAAAAGTGAACAAATAGCCCAATCTCCAATCATTGTGACAACAGCTTGGTGTTCCAATAACTGTATATTAAGAGGGGGACCCTCCACTTTTTCTCCTATTGATTCAAAACTATGGAAAACAGAGCTTAAAGTCTCAGGGTAATTATATTAAAATGTCAAATCATTCTGGCCTAAACATGTATATAAATGTACTCTTTATCAGAAGATGTTGTCCCAAAAATTCCAACATTTCTATTAGTTTTTTCCGGTATCTTGTGCAGGCCAGTTAATTATATGTCGGCCTGAACAACTAAATTCAGCCAATATATATCAACAGTCATATTTCAATCAAATTTTTTTGATCACAGCCTCTTGATTCAATTATTCCAGCTAATATATGCAACGGTTGTAATAAGAATAATTTATTCTTTACTACTTTACCATTGGCTTACATTCCAGTGTTCATGGGGTTGGACGTCTGTGTCTTCGGCAGGCGTAGAGCTAACAGAACTGGCAGCGTTGCGAGGCAAGGGCTCAAACATGGACGGCTGGAAGCCTTCTACACCAAACCAAGCTTCTGCCGCCCTGGCGTCCTCTTCCACAACATCTTCGTCCCCGCTTTCCTCCTCTAAATAAAAAATGGATGACGGAGGAGACTCATCCACGACCTCCGACACTAAACTCACCTCCTCTTGCATGTTTCCGCTGTCCATAGCGTTCCTTCACAGTGTCAATGCTAAGTCACCAATTTAGTGCTACTTGGTCCCAATGGAATTTCCCATTTGGAAACTACTAGCACTAAGTTGCTAACTGGTTAGCAAGATGCTTTCGAGAAACCAGCCACAGTCAAACTTGCTTAGGAACCTTCAGCCATAACAATCCTACCCTCTTGACAACTTATCACATTCAGTTTATTCCCTCGTGTAAAGTCGTGTACCACTCAGGAGAATTTCACTGATCACATTGATTATTTAAATCAGTAAAAAAATTTCACTGTGTTAGATAAGGCATGGTTAGAAAAAGATGTATACCGCAAACCCATTTACACAGAGCAAGACTTGCTGCTTGACTCCCATCAGCCAATAGAGCACAAGATACATCTGGACTCACAGATCAAAGAACATTCCCTCAAGCGCAGAATCCTGGGAGAAAATGAAATCATACCCATGACATGCCTTGCAGAGCACTGTTGTTATCCAAGGATTTCTTCAAGCAAATGAGAAACCTGTGGTATTTCCATATGCTATGTGAGTTTTCTCTGAAAAATATAAAATGTCCATTTTGTGGGTATTAGCAGATGTATATTTACCACATAACTTAAAAAAAGTACTTTAAAAAGCCTAAGTGGAAACAAACAAAATTGTCAAAGAATGCTACCACACACAGTCTGGTTTTACAATTCCGATGGGGTCTTTCCATAGACTTCTATTGCTTTTTAGGTGAGTTCTACAGCCTAACCGTGACCCTTACCCTAAACCTAACATTACAGGTTCATACCTAACCCTAACCTAAATCCCATTCACACTTTTCATCCTAAACCTAACACCTGACCCTAAAACAGTATTTTTACCCATAGGGACCAGACATTAGTCCCCACTAGAGCATTCGGTACCCACGATGTGAAAGAATTACTAAAAAATCGTCCCAGGAATGTCAAAAATACATGCACTCATACACCCA